CTCTCTCTCTCTCTCTCTCTCTCTCTCTCTCTCTCTCTCTCTCTCTCTCTCTCTCTCTCTCTCTCTCTCTCTCATAATCTACATATGTCTGTTCACAGGGTTCACTGAAGTTTGGTAGATAGTATACTCAATGGACATACGAACTTATATTCCAACTTTCAGATAGATAAAACGGCGTGAGTACTAAGTGACATATTCAGAATCTAGTGTAGGCTAAGAGTTATGAAAACTCATTAGAATTCTGTTCCCATCTTGCCAGTATTGTCATTGCGAGTTTCCCATGAAAATTGTCAAAAGGAAAAACGACGATTTTGTTTTTACTTGTCGTATTGGTGTGGTTAAGTCAAGACACAGGTCAAGTTGTGTTTTTACTGCGTTCAGATAGAGAGAGCCTAGGCCTACCTGTTTGACCTAAGACAACAGTCGAAAGTAAGTCTTTAACCTGCTCACTGCCTGTGTCGCCATATCGGCAAGCATTGACAAAGTCCTCACAGTTTTGTAGTACCACATTGTAATCAATCTGGGGTTTCTCCTTTTCCATTTCTTTGGCTAATTCAACAATGGCATCGGTTCGCAAAGGCTGCTGCTGTTTGTCTCTGGAGTTGTTGATCCGAGCTTTACCCGAACCCCCCAGTATCGTCGCAATCGAGTCGGCTCGAATCTCGGGCTTATTGTCCGCAGAAGCCGCAATGCCAGATGTCTTTCTTATGGAGAAATCCACCGCGCCTTCGAAAATGCCGAAGTGGATGACAGCGTGCTCTATCCCGCTATATCGCCCGACGTATATACCCCAGTGGGCGAAGCCAAAGCTTCGCAAGAATTCCACTCGATCTCCGGGAAGTATCTCCTCTTTCAAGAGCTTGATATCAGAGGGGGTGCGCCACTTTCCCGTTTCTCCAATATGGTTGTTGCTTGCCATGTTTGCCTTGGAGGAAGTACGAATATGCCCCCGTACACGCCAATGCCACTAATGCTGCAGCGTAAGCAGATGCAGTCGCACTTGTGCATCAGAAATTTATAATCGCGCACTTCATATGGTGGCCAGTGTTGACCCACTACGATCAAAGTACATTATGATATCAAGACACATCAAGGTCTAATGTATCGAGGTACTGATAGTTTGCTCATGATCCCAACAAAAGCTCCTTTAACGTTGTTGTTACACTGTTTGTTCTGTATTCATTAATACAAAGACCTCCGAGGCGCGGAGGAACCATGTAGCCGATCATATCCCATTGCCTTTAATGTAGGAGGCTCCTAAAACTGTTTGGCGTCCCTAATATTGTAGAAATGTTTAACGCTGCCTTTAGACCTGCAAAAATCCCCCTTGCCTGATGTGCATAATGGTTTGACGCAGTAGAATCAGTAGCTATGGCGGGAATCGACTTTTTATCCAGTTGCCTGACCCGGCTGGATTCAAAACTAGGCTACCAAGTGTTCATTTCATATACGGGTCTGGCTCTCGATTGGTGATCCCAACGCGGCTTCCCTCCATCCATTACGCCGTGTCCTGGTGTCAGTGAATCAACGACGGATTACTAGTCGAGATTCGGATCCACGTGAAACTAAGAGGCCCATGCAAAGGTGGATATAAGGCGGGGTTAACGCGCGAGCTGCCAGCCTTGCTTAGCCTCAACACCGTGCCTGAAAAACTGACATTTGTCCCTCAATTGTTGTTCATAATTACAGCAGTTGGCTAATCAATTTTACTTACCAAACTTTCAATCAACCTGGTTACAGGAACACCTTCACGGCAAAATCTCTGGTGTCAAAAGCAACACTTCTGGTGTTCTCAGGTGACCACACTTATCTGTTACTTTTACACCACCGGTGTTACTTTACTGTATGTAACTTAATTTATTTCTTGTTGAGTCATACATAATCACACAGACTTAAAAACTGACGAAAAGATACAAGCTTGGTGAAGAAAAATGCAATTTCATTATCATTTACAAATGTGAAGAAGTGCACTCAATATCTAAACTACAATGACTATACAAAGGACCCACCTGCAGGCTTTCATGCAGGCTGTGCGCTTTGAAACTATGTCAAGTTCGGCTTTTCACCAGTACAAAACAACTATTCTTACAAAGCATGGTGCATTATTATAAACGAATAAGGAGTCTGAACAACCACTTCATAGATCTTAATATCCATATTTGCAGTAGGTAGGGGATTACTTGGAAAAGGAAATGTGAGTTCTCGTCCGACTGCCTCCTATTTTTGCGTAGTTCTGGCAATGCGCTATGTCTGGTACTGTTTTGCAATGAGAAGGGTCCAAGTATCCGAGTATAAAAAGTCTCAAAATTATTGAAATCTATCAAACTTGTTGTCATCCGAAAGGCCAGATGTTCCTCTATCTATTCATATAAGTTTCATATCCATATTTGCAGTAGTTAGGGAAATATCGTGAATATAATATCCGACTTCATGTAGAACTGCTTTATTTTTTGCTTTATTCTGACTTTGCACTATGTTGGGTCATGTTTCGCACAGAGAATGGTCCATATATCCGAGTATTAAAAGTCTCAGAATTATCTAGATCTAGCAAACTCAGTGTCATCAGAAAGGGCACATGTTCCTCTGTCTATTCATATAGGTTTAATATCCATATTTGCAGTAGGTAGCGGATTACTTGGAAAAGGAAATGTGAGTTCTCGTCCGACTGCCTCCTATGTTTGCGTAGTTCTGGCAATGCGCTATATCTGGTGCTGTTTTGGAATGAGAAGGGTCCAAGTATCCAAGTATAAAAAGTCTCAAAATTATCTAAATCTAGCTAACAATTGGTGTCATCTGAAAGGGCGCATGTTCCTCTCTCTATTCATATAAATTTTATATACATATTTGGAGTAGTTAGGGAATTATCTGTAAAAGGAAATGTGAGTTGTTGTAAGCCTGCCTCCTATTCTTGCGTAGTTCTGGCATCGCGCCATGTAGGGTCCTGTTTCGCACAGAGAATGGTCCATATATCCGAGTATAAAAGGTCTCAGAATTATCTAAATCTAGCAAACGTGGTGTCATCAGAAAGGGCACATTTCCTCTGTCTATTCATATAGGTTTAAAATCATCTACCACATTATAAACGTTCCTGCATGTCATAACATTAACTGTAAACGGAATCTGAAGCTGCGAAGGTTTCCAATAACTGCACATTAATATACAGTGCATCTCCTTTTTAAGAAGCCCATCAAGCTTCGGTGGCCAATCCCGCACACACATTCCCCGACGCCCTGATTACCAAACTGACATCAGCTTGCCGTTTTTCTTTAGAATAATTACAATTCGCAATTATTTTTCGTTAATTTACTTAAAAATTAATAGACACCAATGTATGCTAAGTTGCGAAATGATTTGTGGTAGTCTTTACATACAAACTAAAATTGAAACCAGGGGACCAAGACAAGTTGAACTGTCTTAAAACTACATCATGCAAGATATGGGACGGAGGGGTACCCCCCCTTACCTGTTCAATCCCTTTACACGAGAAAATTGTAACCCAACGCATCCCCCTAACAATGACCAACCCAAAGGGGGGGTCTCTCCGTTCCACATCTTGCTTCAAATGCTTAAAACTGTTTCAAACTTAAAGGAAAAAACTTAATAAAGGGATATTTGTGATTATTAACAAAGAATATGCTAATCTAACCTTAGAAGACAGGATCCTCACTGGCGCAAACCTGATACAATCTAGAGTCCATCCACTGTGGGTAGATAAACGCTCGCAACGTTAATGTAATGTAACGTTAATGTAAGCGACTTTATTCCTATCTCTCCAAAACATACGTTTTCAAAGTCTTGATCGAATTTGTCCAAGACGGGCCGACACAATGTTGACCATCAATGAACAAAATGCACTATTACATCACAAGGAAGTGATAATGACATCTGATAACATACACTTTTGTATAAATGCCGTAATAAACAAAAAGATACAAATTAATTTAAAAATCTTATATTTTATAAATACCCTAGCTTTTGACTTTATATTTTTTTTAGTTTGCATGCAGGAATCTTAGTCTTCTCTATATGCAGTTTGCACCTATATATACCCCGTACATGCATTTACTGTCCTGCGATACATTTTGCAGAATTTTTCATGTGCACAAAGCGTATACATGTACATGTTGTAAGGATCTGAACCGTGCAAGGGCTTCATGATCTGAAACAACACTACAAACCATGTAAGCCCACAGCCTGGTGCCAGCAAGGCAAGCTCAGCCGAGAGATTGAAATTATAATTACATGTAATGTACCTGCAAGCCTTTTTCTGTATGGCTATTAATTTTGAGGACTGTGGCGTTATTAATATTTACATTAAAGACTCTCAAGATATGATATTGAAAATCAAAGTGAGCCTAATAGGGTCTACGTGTAACTTTTCTGAGGCACGAATATTGTACATGCATGCACCATAGCGCTAAATTGACTCTTGTAAAGTCAAAGAAGACTGACTTGTAAGTGGGTGTGCGATAATAAGCTCAAATTCACTCAAAATCAGTTCATAATCTTGGTACAATGTACATGTGTTGTGTTTCTTGAAAGTGACATTTAAGATAATGAAAGCACTGCCGTAGCATTACATCCTATTTTTTTTTAAAGAGCTTGCTATTTTTAAAAACAGCATCCTATTTTAAGAAAATAGCGTCCTAATTTTTAAAAATACAAATAGGATTCTATTTTTCTAAAAGAAACCTTTCTATTTGCCCTGTTGAGTCATATATGGCCCTTGTGAAAATATATAATATGAAATTAAGAAAATATCAAAAGGTGCCATTCATTATTGTTAAATTCTTCAATTTGTAGTTCAACAATGTGGTTGGTTTCTAAAGTAAAACATTTGATAAAGAAATTAAAAAAACTGTTGGTTTAAAATGATGTCTGTTCCACTCCCACCCCAACTTTTCAAATTTCCACTGCCGATCAAGTCACCCTCTCTATAATCTCCCACCCCCCATCTCAAGTTCACGGCACAAATTCGCACCATTAGTGCTTGCTGTTCATGAGAGACGAAACTAAACTTCACTGTGTACACTTCCACAAGCACAAACTGTACTCCACATGCTTGAATCCCAGAATCACTGTTATTGAAGAAACGTTGATGCCACCGCTCTTGCCACAAATTCACCTGTTAAAAACAGACAGACAGACAGATAACCAGAAATAGGTGACATTTCACGGTTTCTGGAGGATTTATGTCGTTCATTCGCTAACAGTGGTCCCCGCCTCATCAAAAGTCGTTCTTTGAATACCATTCAAGATGAGGGTTGCAATTCAGTCGCTGTTTTATGGTGTAATTAGTGCGCTCAAACTTAGATCTGCATGCATGGGCTGTGATGTTATATATGACTACATGTCTTCGGGGCGGTAGAAACGGAAAATGCAAGGAAATAGACTGGCGCAAAATTAAAACGGAAATCTGTAGGCCTAGGACGTGTACAGGACTGCATACATAGATGTGCGTATAGGAAGGCATACTTAAGCCCAATTCCATTGGTTCCGTTAGCGAAGGAATTACATAGATACGCCCACAGGTAAGGGAAGTCAGGTAAAGTCCCGTTACCCTTTTTTGCCTACGTCACAAGATAAACTTTGATTGTAATGACTCCAAAACCAAATGATACTTCACAAACTACTAAATCTCATAATCATTTCTTTCTTTGATTCTTTGTTAGTCCATAAAGTTGAAATTATTCGTTCATTTACAAGACCAAGGAAAAACAGTTATGTAAAATCCTTAATTTCAATGTATTATAACATTAGTAACGAAAACCTCTACTACATGTGCAAAGAAATGTGTACCATGCTAAAAATGCATTGAATAGGTTTGCATTTTGAAGTAAAACTTAGCGCCAAAAAGGTTGATTTTCTTAAACCATTGACCGCTCATATAACATTGTGGCCACTCTCTGCAAACAGTTTATAGGGGCAATGCATATCTTCCATCTTGATACTGTCATGCAGATATATACACTGCACCTTGCCTTGTGCCTGGTAGAAGTGTGGTCAGGCATTTTCTCACACAGGTCAGATCGGAAAAGCTGGGTTCAATTTCACCTTATGCCTCATCTTTGAGTCACTTTGCTTCTGTCTGTTGCGCAAATATTGTCCTAAAAATTTTTGCAGCTTCAAAAACTTTAACTTGTCCGGTGAAACATTCGAAACCAACATAGGAATCTGGAGAATTGATGAGGATTTCTCCACCATAATGATCTGTCTTTTCGATGTTAACTTTCATAGATTTGGTTTGGGAAAAGGAACTGTCTCCAATTCGGTTTCCCTTCACAATATATTTACAAACAAGTTTGAGTTACACATGGCCTCCCTAGTTTTAGGCAGGGGCAAGCGTGCAGTCTCATTCATACATATATACATGTACATATAGGCCTAGGCCCTACATGTACCCACCTGCTGGGCCAGCAGCCTCTCTTAACATGTCAGCCTGATCGCTTGTTGGGTCGTCGTACCGGCAGAGATTCACAAAGTGCTCGCAGTTGCGTTCGAGAAGATCGTAGTCAATATGGACTTTCTCTCGATGCATTGTCTTTGCTTTTTCAACGATGTTGTCCGCCGAAAAAGGTTTTTTTCTCCTCGTCTTTTGAGTTGTTGATTCTCACTTTGCCCGAATCGCCAAGCACCGCCCGAATGGAGTCGGCTCGTACCTCGGGCTTGCTGGTCGCATAATCCGCCATGCCTAACGTTTTCTTTTTGGCGAACCCCTTCCCACCGTCGATCATACCGAAGTGGATGACAGCGTGCTCGATTCCATCATACGCACCGACGTATATACCCCAGTGGGCGTATATACCGCGGTAGAACTCCAGCCGATCACCTCGTTGTACTTTTTGTTCCAATTCCCGGAAATCATGAGCGCCAGCCTCATACCAGGCACCTATCGTCCCTTTATGGCTTTTGCTAGCCATGTTCAGGCTGTCCCGATGAAATAAAAAGGAAGGGAACTGAAAGCAATCACCACGTTCACACCTTTACAACTGTTTCAATGCGTTTTCCTCTCCGCAAACTGTATCTTCCGGACGAATTTCTCACCACATCAACATGCATGCACTGTCGTTTTGAATTCGCACAACTGCAACAGCGACA